AAGGGCACTTGTAGACAGTTGAGATGTAGATAGTTCCATTCCCTAGAGGAAGCAGTATGGAGGTTTTAAAAATGTGCAACCCCACACTGATAAAGGGAGGGAGTCGTGGAGCAGGCTACATAACGCAGGGTGCTGCTCAAGAGCAAGATCCTGGCCTTTGTCTTGGTAAACCAGTCATACAGCATTAGTCATGTGAGGAAGCAGTAAAGGAGAGGGGAAGTAGAAGCATCAGGGGAAGGGTGGAACTGTACTTCTCATCTGCTGATAGCTTGGTATGTAGGTCAAGTCCTGACTCTCCAGTCAGAATTTCAATCTTATCAATAAGGCATTCCACTGACCCATTCCTGGGGTCCTTCCTTATATGTCAGTCAGTGGTCCTCGGGTGTTTCCGGTCAAACCTGATGTATGTCAAGAGTAGGTTTATGCATCGTGCTCAGCCCCCTCCCTCCTCGCCCCCCCGCAGGTGTTCCAGGTCATACCTCATGATGCGGACCCTTCCCAGGGAGGTCAGCTTTATACCTTTATTTGACGTGGAAGGTGCCTAATAGGGTTGGGCTGCTATGGCCAGGCAGTTCTGATCTTGCCTTAGGAATACAGAACTGGAAGTAACAAAATGGAGGCTGAAAGAAAAGGACGGACTCTGTGAGTCTGTTCACCAAGAAGTACCAGTCTTTATTTCAGAACTGAGCTTATATACACTAAAAAAAGAGGCACTGTGGCCTATGCCCATTGGCCAGGTCCCGGCCAGGCAGGCAGAGAGTAATGAAAAAATTATTTACGGGAAAAGAGCCTATAAGCAGGGGGTACTGGATCTATAGCCATATATGGTGGTGGAAACAGCCAGACCCAGACAAGGCCATGGACTTCTCCTTATCAGCTGGGGCCCAGAATTGCAAAGTAAGCCAAACTGCTTTCCTTCAGAGGCTGGATAAGCTGCCTAGGTTTAGCAGACCTACAATCCAGCAATTCCACTCTTAGGTCGCCACCTGAAGAACACAAAAATTCTAATTTAATGGGAAACTCGCACTCCCATATTTATTGCAGCATTAGCTACAATAGCAAACTATGGAAACAATCTCAGTGCCCTTATATGGAGTAAAATTGCACTTATGACAATCGGTATTTCATATGGTGGGTTTGTGCTGCTCTATGCTCCTTTTAATTCTGTAAAAATTGTGTTTGTTGTGATAATTTATTTAAAACTGAATGTAAAAAAATAAA